CTATTTATACACAACACACTGAATAGGAGGTCTGTCAAGAGGAATGTATTCTTTGTTTCTCTTAATCTCTAAGGGAGAGACAGAGCAGAAGGACAAATTCTCAGTACAGCAAATCTCAGTAAAGAGTTACAGATTTCTTGGTAAGCCATGAAAGGCTGTTCTCATTCTACAAAGGTTGCTCTCATTCTACTGATAACCGTCATCCAAACAAGTCTGGGAAAACTGTGTGGGTAAGGGTCCCAGCCTAGCTAGCCCCTTCAGGTGCAAGGACCTTATCAGCTTACACCTGGTCCCCAACAGAATGTATTCCCCCAAACTGGAAGAAGGAACATATAACCAATAAAAAAAACTACTATTTAAAGTAGAGTGTAGAGGCTGTGTAAAAAATTCTTATAATCACTAAAAAAAGATTTACAATCTAAGAAAAAAATAGGCAAAAGACACATACAGGTATTTCACATAAGAGAAACCAGGAATGGCCAAAAAGCTTTAAAAAGGTGAACCTCATTAGTAATTAGAAAAATGTACATTAAAATCACTATAAGATATTTTATGACTACCAGGTGGGTACAAATTAAAGTCAGCATAGAAACGATGGGAATACAGAGGCCATTGGTGGAAGTATAAATGGGTACACTTACTTTTGGGGAAAATGATTACAACTATCTGCCCTAGATGCAGTGATTCCATTCCACACTTTAGAGAAAGAATATCCTGCATTTGTTCACCATGAGTAACACCATTCTTTTTGTTGTTGTTAATCCTCACCCAAGGACATTCTTCCATTGATTTTTAAGGAGAGTAGAAAGGAAGGGAAGAGAGAAAGAAATATTGATGTGCCCTTGACCAGGATTCAACCCAAGAACCTGATGCTCTGTCTGTTGGGGTCCAACCCCAGCAGGTCCAGCAGGTCCAAAGGTGTGGACGGAGTCGGCAAAGAAGAAATGACACGGAGACAGCAGCGTTCAGTTGATCAGCAGCCTAGCCAGGTTCTCCAGCCAGGTTCTCTCTTTATTCTCCTGTTACATCTGTATTTATACCATTTGATTTTAATCCTTTCCATTCTATTCCAAAGGTTAGGGCGTTTGTTATCTCCATTCCAAGGTCACTACTCTACTGTAAGGTTAAAAAACAAAAACACCCTAAAATATTCTTATAGCTGCCGTGGGAGTAGATCTTAGTCCTTCCACATAGAGAGATGACTTCAAATTTTTAGGAGGCTCTTTGGACTAAACCTAAACTGAGTCCATTACTCATTTCCTCTCCGGCTCTTCTTGTGGCTTTTCTTTAGATCTTTAGGAGATTTTGAGTGGCTCCTGTGTCTATACTATGGTGATGACCTGGGGACTTGGAACGGGATCTGTGCCGTCTATCTCGGGACCTGCTGCGGTGACGTCTTGGATTCTTGCTCCGATGCCTCTCTCGGCGAGGGGAAGGGCTCCTCCTTTTTGGAGACCGACTCTGCCTTCTGGGAGACCGGCTCCCACTTCTCCTGTAGCGCAGCGTGGGAGAGCGACGGGGCTTGTCCAAGTCTTGGTAGCTTCTCCGGCGGTGATCAGGTGATGGTACTCTCTCCAACTTCTCGTCCTCTTCTTCCTCTTCCTCTTCCTCTTCCTCACTGGACTGGACATCATCCATGTCCTCTTCTAGAGCGCTAACCCGAGGCTCCAATTGCTCAGCTTCCTCTAGCACATAGCGTTTCTGTAGCCAGGGCAGAATGATATCACAGACTCTCTCACTGTGTAGTAGTTCATCAATGAACTCATCTACGTGCATCAGTTCAAGCTCTCCATTTCAGTTCTGGCTCTTAATTTTTCTATAATCATTGTACAGAGGCTCCAAGTATTTGTAGCAATCAATTGCAGTGCCTGTCAGCCTCATATAAAGTGCTCCCAACATGCGTACATACTTGAAATCTTCATTTTTTATAAACTCAACAATGATATCCTTCTCTGGTTGAATCTGAAGCATCTTCAAGGTCAAACACAGAAAGGGAGTTGGCTTTATGTTGCCACCATAGACGCCACCGACAAACCTTAACTCCATGGCTTTATCAACTACAAGTTCAGCCATAAGTCCAAAGCACTCCTCTTTCCAGTGCTTGGACTCATAGATTCGAGTCCGGATGATCCTCTCCACCAGATACTGTGGGTTGGTGCCGTGAATGCTGTGGGCATCCTTCACCGTGCGGTTCGCCATTTTAAAACGCTTTCAGTTCTATTTCCGTCGGGTCCTTTAGTGGGTCATATCCCGGTTAAAAACACACACAAAACAGATACGAAGAAGATGGAGGAAGTCCCCTTTATTTTATTTTTTTTGGGGGGGGAGGGCGGGGAGGTTGGAGAGTTTATTATTTACATGTGTAAAGGATGTGGGAACAGGAGCTGGGGTGAGGTGCAGCTGGGAAGATGACTCCAGCTTAGTCCGTGATGATGAGCTCATCTACCCCCCAGTCTTCATAGCTCCCGTCAGGCAGGTAGCGCCGAATGATGATGGGGATCTTTCGGGCCTTGAGCTCTTTCATGGCAATAAGCAGGGGATCTGTCTCCCCCCCCAGTTCCACCATCACGGGGGCACACATCGAGATCTGGAGGGCTCGGGTGCCCAGCACGCGGGCTCGCTCATACTTGGTCATATATGGTGTGGTGATCCGCTTCTGGTTGGCCTGCGGTCGCTCTCCAGAGGGGAGGATCTCAAGGTTCTCCTGGCCCTCTTCCTCAGCATTCTCCAAGTCATCTAGTCCTTCATCCTCCTCCACATCATCAAAGTCGTCGCCATCAAAAGTGTCCTCGTTGTCTGACATGACACCCGCGCAGCAGCGACCTGGATCTGCGCCCCGCACCCGTGCCCGGAGACCCACAAACTGCGCGCCTCCGCCTCGCTCAGCAACACGTTCTCTGCGCCTGTGCGGTAACCGGGAAGCAATCCGAAGTCGCCTTTAAATAGCTCACGTTAGCAGCTTGAAATCTGACGTGCTGCAGCGTAGGGGACTTCCTGCCCTGATAGAATCAAGAATAGCCAGGTTCTCTAGCCAGGTTCCAGCCGGGTTCTGTCTTTATTGTCCTGTTACATCTGTATTTATACCAGTTGATTTTAATCCTATCCATTCTATTTCAAAGGTTAGGGCGTTTGTTAATCTAGTTCTGTTGAGTTTAATCCTGTCTAGGTTAACCTCTGTGTTCCATTATAAGGGCTATTCCAAGGTCACTGCTCTACTGATAAGCTACAAGGAAGTGACTGAAGGAGATTATCCTACCCAGTAAAGGTTATGTCCTCCCAGCCTCGCTGCTTGCCTTCCCTGGGACTGCCCTGTGTCACTGGGTATCCAGGGGTATAGGTTTTGGTGCTTTCCCTAGTGGGCAGACCCAACAAGTCCCAAATTTATTGCCAACAGTCTTAGTCCAAGTTCTTCATAAGTAGTACATGGTATTTCTGTAACACTAGGGGGTCTTTTCTTACTGATTTATTCCCTTCATTAGACCTGTTAATTCCTAACTCCAGGGAAAAAATCCTCACCTGGGGAAACAACCTTTCTCGGGGAGGTGGTCTTGTTTAAAACACATAGCGCTAAGAGGGGGAGCAAGCATATTAAGAACAGTATGCCATATACGCCAGGTCCCTTGAAACATATGCTGTGCAGATGTTTCTTCCCTGCAGTGACTGTGTCAAGCAGCAAGGATGGACAGGCTTCTGGCATCTGTTTACTGAGACAAACAAGCCAGGCTTTCTTCTTCTTCTTTTAGATTTTAAATTGATTTTTATAAAGAGAGGAAAGGAGAGGGAGAGAGAGAAACATCTATAGAGCAAAAACATCATTGCCTGCCTTCTGCACACCCTTTTTCAGGGATCAAGCCCGAAATCCGGGCACCTGCCCTGACTGGAATCAAACAGGCAACCTTTCAGTGCACAGGACAATGCCCAACAAACTGAGCCACATTGGCCAGGGCACGTCATTCTAATAACCATAATCTGGGAGGTGGTTGGGTGGGGGTGAATCCTCCATAAAGGGAGAATGGATCTGTAAACTGTAGTCTGTTTATACATTGTAATACTACAGAGTGTGCTGTCCAATACTGTCATTAGTCACAAGTGCCTGCTGAGCGCTTGAAATGTGCTAAGTGCAAAACATACCCTGGATTTGGAAGATTTAGGACGAAAACAGAATGTAGAACACTTTCAAATCTTTTATGTTGATTACATGTTGAAGTAATACCTTGGATCTGTTAGACTCAATAAAATGTAATAAAATCAACTTCATGTGTTTTTTTTCTTTTGCTCACTTAATTTGCTTTCTAAAAATTTAATTAAGACCGTTTCTACTTGACTGACCTGAGACAATGAAAGAAACAAAGTGTAAGTACAGCTAATAAGAGGTGAATATCCTAAATAGCTCTAAGTGCAAAGGACAAAGTCTAGAAAGAAAAACTGAATCTTCACACGTGCTATGCCACACGATCTATATGTATACAACCCCCAATAAAATCACAACCCCCTGATTGCTTGCATTAGAACTAAGTATATGAAACCTTCTCCCAACGTGCCTTTCTTTCAAACTCTACAGCCCAGCCTTACCGAAGCAAGGCCTCCAAAAATTAGGTTGCCTCCCAAAAAAAAATGGGAGAGAGAGAGTATGCTTTGATTTGTGTTAACGCACACCTCGGGTAAAAGTAACTTCTATTACACTAATAGTGGCTATGTAATTCCAAGAGTTAGTGCTTTATGAAGATTTTAAGTTACTGTGTAAATAAGAGTCTAATTTTTGGAAATGTAGATTGAAGGAAATTTTAAGATTTTCCGTTTTAAACTTACACTTTGTGCAATGCATTGTGGGTATGTAAATAAGGTGAGTCGATTCCGGAAATATCTTAGTGCTTACTTGGTGTGCCTTGCGTCACCATTAGGGGGCGAAGCGGAGGATTGGCTGACTACGATCTAAACGCCATCTCGATCAGACCTGAGCTTTATGTTTTCTGTGTTTATACATCTGAGTTTGATTTCTGTTAAATAAAGACTTTGCTGTTAAAATGAACATGAAAATATTAGCAAATAAGTGACTGACAAAAAATTCAGGATGGTGGTTCCTCTCTTCGATGGGGAGTTAGAGGTGTGTGATTGGGAAAGGGAACACAGGGGGTTTTAAAATTTGTCAATTTCCTTTTTCTTAAGCTGCACGGTGGGCGCACGGGGAACACATTATTTTCTCCACCCCCCCCCCTTTTTAAAAATCTTTAATGTTGGAAGTATTACATAGGTCCTTTCAGGGAATACATTCTTGAATATTTTGCATTTTTGCTGTTTGACAAAAATTCCGGACAGTGTCCTGTTTAAAATTGGGGCTTGCATGCTAGGTTTCAGGTTTCTTACCCACCTGACGCCACTGCTGCGGATGAAATCTTGTATTCGAGTCTGAGACCTTCCACCCATCTTCTTATCTCATCTGCTTTTCAAGTGAGTTGTTCTCTGCTCTGGGGCGCTCAGCTGCCAGATCCGACCAGCCTACACGCACTCCTCCCTAACCGTCCATTGATTCAGATCCATCGTGGTAACAGAACAACCTTGGGAAAGGAAACTGCAGCTCTTTTTTCTTTCTACCTACTCATGCAAACATTCTGCTTCCCAACATAAAAAAAAAAGTCTTTAGCCCTGGCTGGTTGCGAAGGGTCCCAGGTTCGATTCCTGTCAAGGGCAGATGCCCGGGTTGCAGGCTCGATCGCCAGTAGGGGGCGTGCAGGAGTCAGTCAATCAGTGATTCTCATCATTGATGTTTCGATGTCTCTCCCTCTCTTCCTCTCTGAAATTCATAAAAATATATTTTAAAAAACACTTTTATTGCATTCACTGGTTTGGCTCAGTGGATAGAGCATTGGCCTGCAGACTGAAGAGTCCCAGGTTCGATTCCGGTCAAGGGCATGTACCTTGGTTGCGGACGCATCCCCAGTGAGGGGTGTGCAGGAGGCAGCTGATCGATGTTTCTCTCTCATCAATGTTTCTAACTCTCTATCCCTCTCCCTTCCTCTCTGTAAAAAATCAATAAAATATATTTATATTTTATTTTATTTTATTTTATTTTATTTTATTTTATTTTATTTTATAGGGAAGTGGAGGGAGGGAGAGAGAAACATCAATCGTTTGCCTCTGGTACACACCCTGACCTGGGTAACCCACAACCTGGGTACGTGCTCTGACCGGGAATGAACTGGCAGCCTTTGGATGCACAGGACCACGCTCAACCACTTGAGCCCCATGGGCCAGGGCCACTTCCCAAATTTGACACCTTCTCTGAGCTGGTACATTGGTTTTCATTTTGTTGATTCTTTTGCTAACAAGTTGAACATATTTGACATAGAATTGATTTAAATTTTTCTAATACTGTACATTTAGAAAACATCTTTATGCAGTCTGATTCACTTGCCATACAAATTACCCATTTAAAGTGTAGGGTTTTTAGTATATTCATAGAGTTGTGTAATCATTACCACAATCTAATTTTAGAACATTTTTGTCACCTCAAAAAGAAACTCAGAGCTCATTAGCAAGTTACTCTCCACACACACCCCAGACTCTGGCAACCACTAACGTACTTTTTGTCTCTAAAGTGTCTATTCTGGACATATCATATACAGGCATTTGTCTGTATGCCCAGAAGATTGGTTCCAGGTCCCCCAGCCATAGCAAAGTCTATGGATGCTCAAGTCCCTTAAAGAAAATAGCATAGTTTTGCATGTAACCTATAACATCTTCCTATATACCTTAAATCAAATCTAGATTACTTATAATACCTAATACAATGTAAATGCTATACCTCCCTAGCCAGTTTGGCTCAGTGGATAGAACATCGGCCTGTGGACTGAAGGGTCTCAGGTTTGATTCCCATTAAGGACACATGCCTGGGTTGCAGGCTCGATCCCCAGTAGGGAGCGTGCAGGAGGCAGCCAATCAATGATTCTCTCTCATCATTGATGTTTCTAACTCTCTCTCCTCTCTCTTCCTCTCAGAAATCAATAAAAATATATTTTAAACATTGTTATACTGATTGTTAAGGGAATGATGACAAGGAAAAAAGTCTGTACAGTACATACTCAGTATAGATGCAACTGATGTAGGCCTAACTACATTGTACACATCAGCAACAATGTGACATTTTTTCCAAATATTTTCCATCTGCAGTTAGTTGGCCAATTTAAATTAAAGCAGACCTTTTGTAACTGGTCTCTTTTGCTTAGCATGTTTGTGAGGTTCACCCACACAAACATTTGTTTTGATGCTCTACTATATGTTTGCTCCATTTCACAAGGTAATGGAAAGTTAGAGGCCCGTGGAGGAGCAAAGTTCCTCATAGGACTTGCCAAGGGCAAAGGCACTGATATCATACATTTAAGTAGATACAAAGGGTTAATATTTTGTGCATTGTAAATATTGATATTTTAAGCTGATTAGATCACTTTTAATGGTAAACAATGGTAGGTAAATATCCAAGAAAGCTGATACCACCATAACTTTTTAATTTTTTAATTTTCCCAAAGAGTTTATTTGGACAGACCAAGGGACGGAGAGACCCTGCATCTAAAAGAAGGTGTTGGGCCTTTTGGTGGTGAAGCGTGGCTTGTGCTGGCGACGAAGGACCCAGTGCTGCAACGGGAACTTGATCTTGGAGTCGTGGAACTGCTTGACTGCTGGTCGGCGGCACTTGCTGGCTGCAATCTCCTCCACCTTCATGCTCTGGATTGAGTGGGTGCGGACACGGTGCCAGACCCCCATATCTCGGTAGCACTGGGTGACGGCGCCTGTGGTGGTCAGGTCCCGGGACTCCCAGTATATGCTGTGGGTGCCACTGCGGGAATCAGCGCAGCCAGATGCCAAAGTTCTTTACCCGAAGGGA